CGCCAAACACAACTTCCCTGTGGTTCATCAGGCTCCCTACTCCCCCGACATGGTTCCATGTGACTTTTGGCTATTTCCCAAGCTGAAAATGCCGCTGAAAGGAACCCGATTTGAGTCAAGAGAAGACATCATGCGGAATGCGAGGGCCCGGCTGATCATCATTCCAAAAGACGCGTTCCAGAAGTGTTTCCAACAATGGCGGAAGCGCTGGGAGAAGTGTGTGCATTATCAAGGAGACTACTTTGAAGGGGATTAGGGTTTTATACCTCCAAAACAATAAATGTATTTCTGCCAACCAAAGGTTTAATACTTTTTGAACACACCACATATATTAACCTTAAAAGGTTAACTATTTTAACATTATACCTATGGGTAAACTCAACCTTCTGATAATCAATATGATATGCAGATAATTTTCACTCTGTACACAATATTATTAGAATTTCATTTCAGCCATCATCACACAGAACACCATCATAATGGACTTAATTTAAGATTATTAGTAGCAGTGTTATCAGTCTCAACAGGGAAGTGTGTTCCCTTGAGAGAGCATCAGTGTTTATATTCAACAGCACTTCAGCTCTGCACAGTTGAGATGACAAAGGGGGAGAAGTACATACATACACTCTGACCAAGCTTATCAGCTTCTGCCACACATGAACAAATCAGAGTTTGTGAAGATGCCATATGCATTCATCACACAAGATATGTATGCAAATATCATTACAGTTATTTTTCACTGTCAGTCAGGATGATGACAATGAAGCCCTATATTTCAGTCTGCCATCTGATACATCGTTAAGTGGGAGGATGAGATGCTCTCACAACATATCTTGTGATTGATAACAGATTAACTTACTGCAATGAGAATTTATATTTGTGCCTTTCAAAGATTATACACATTTTCAATATGTGAAATGTCATTTCTTGACACGATTCAACAAAAAACAAGATAGCTTTGATTTGTTTCATCCTGGTCTGTCACACTAACAGTATTATAAAAGATTAAAGGTTAATCAGTCACACTGGACAGAATTAATTAACTTTTTATAACAAGATAGCTTCTTTATAAAATGTACAAAATGTGGTACAATATATATATATAGCACTCAGGGCTACAAGAAAAAGTACATTTAATAACAGCTCTGTAAACATATCTTTTCAATACTGCAACTTCAAATTAATACTGAATAAATGCAGATTAAACTCTGCTGATCTTGACTCTTAAATGGAAATGGTACTCTGCTCTAAACTATGTGAATTTATACCTCATCAGTACAGAGGATTCACAACAAAAGGAAACCTTGTAATGACGCAGGTAGACCTTACTCCTCGTACCATACCATATTGATCCATGTTCTGCTAGCTCTAGTCAGTCGGTTCCAGAAGAGATGGCAGAAGTTGTATTTGCATACTCAGTTTATCATTTTCTTTATAACCAATAATGTATCCTACTGATCAGAGAATATTTATTGCTGAAACATATGTATGAAAAAGCACTTATGTGAAATGCAGGAAAAGACTCATCTGAAAATACCCTACAGAATCTTGCATGTTCAAACTTAGTGAGTGGCAGACCACAGGGTCAGTAAAAAAAAAAAAGTAATAGTAAAGCTATCCCTGTAACAGGCAATGAAGGCCCACAGTGTCGTGAGATGTTGAGGGTCCCACAGTCTCTAGACAATCGGCTCATAGATGGAGGTAAGGTTGTCAGTCTTATGCGCCGGCCGTGCTTTACTCTCCAGGAAAATTATTTAATTCCTGGTACTCATTTCTGTTGGAGGCTGAATCAACCCCAGGGCCATAATGCGGCCAGAAGGATTAGGTCAATTTAAAAAAACCCAATGACCTCATCAACACTTGAACCTGCGACCTTCCAGCTTGCAGCATAGTGCCTCAACCAACTATGTTACCGCATGGCCTCTCCACAGGGTCAGTACTTGATAAAATACATTATCACAACTCACAGATGAGAAGCTTGAAGACATTCTGGCTTGGTTACAGATTAACCCTTGAAAATCTTTTTAAGATGATTATCACAAGAGACAGACGTCCACAGTCTCTTCTTCTAGGACAAATAATAAAGTTTCGTCCCTACAGACTTGGAATTGTACCACCACACAGCATAGCAAGAACTTCATGTACACCATATGAAGGACCCCTGATGTTAGGCATTCTTAGTGAACACAAACCCTGGACCATACACATATACAGACTACAAAGGAAGAAGCAGAAACATGTCCTGCAGCATTCTCCCCCAACCAAAGGTAACAAAAACTCAGCACAGAAGTGACATGTGTGCCTCCCTTCCTCCACTGAAATTGAAACTAAGGGGGTTTTGCAGAAAGTATGGCATTCATTCTCTTCCACCCTGGCATATAAGACACAAGGTATCACACATTAGAATAGGACCAAGACAAGTCACATGGGTATATTAAAAATTATGTTTGCTAGTTTAATATTTAAACACCAGACTTTTGAAATGGTGGTAAGCTTGAGCTGGCCGGAGTTTATTTAAATGCCCACTGCTACTCTGCATTTAAATGTCTGTTCCTGTTAGGGTGCTTAAACAATTTTAAACAATGTGTTTAAAAATGCTGTATCTAACACATTTTTTATGATAAATGGATGGAATTGACTTTCTTTGTATCAGCAAAGAACATATTATAAAGCATATTATAACGGAAGATTTGAAAATTTTTATAGAAAGAGTTATATGCTATTTTCAATTTTTTTCTTTTAATTTTGATGTGTACTGCAAAAATGGTTTCCCAGTTCTTCACAGAGATGTTCTGCATTATAAATTCATTTCTATTTGTAACACTTGACACATTTTAGCAGTCCCTGGTGTCATAAAACAGATGGAAGCAATAAAATCATTTGGTTCTCTGCTGGAAAACCTTACAACTTTGTTACACCCTTCAGATTTTTTAATCTTTTGACTAAAGGACAGAAGAATGAAAGCATGGCTATTCAAGAAAGAGCTAGAGGGAACAATTCTACAGTCCTTTCTTCAGTGCTAAGACCTTCCATTATAGCTGCAAGAGATTACTGCCCTTGCTATAGTCGTGAACACAGTTGCATCGTGGCTGAAATACAGAGTGTGATCTATTTTCTGGGCGTTCACAGTGAAATTGAATACTGTAGTTTCATTTCAATCTATATATGTATACATCAAGCAGATAACAAAAAAGGTATGTACATTGAATTTTACTATACATATTGT